GTGGGTGGGCAGATTCTTTGAACCTTTTACCGGTCCCATGATTCTGGGAAACTGTCAACCTACCCCTCCCCTAACCCAACATTAATACTAACTTTTCACTAAGGGCAAAATGCTGGGTAAGGAGAGGGGTGGGTGGGCAGATTCTTTGAACCTTTTACTGGTCCTGTGATTCTGGGAAACTGTCAACCTACCCCTCCACTAACCCAACATTAATACTAACTTCTCACTAAGGGCCAAATTTTGGGTAAGGAGAGGAGTGGGTGGGCAAATTCTTAGAACCTTTTACTGGTCCCATGATTCTGGAAAACTGCCAACCTACCCCTCCACTAAGTTAACATTAATACTAACTTCTCACTAAGGGCAAAATGTTGGGTTAGGGGAGGGGTAGGTTGGAAATCTCTTTGAATTTTACACTGATCCCACGATTCTAGAAAACTGCCAACCTACCCTGCCCATAACCCAACATTGACAGTAACTTCTTGTCACTTGAAGCAAAACATTGGGTTAAGGGAGACCAAACATTCTTCTTCAGACAAAACCTTAGAAATAATTACTGTATTATTTTTCTCCTGTACATACATTTTGCAGCATTTGCCATTTTCTGCAGGGTACCCAGCCATACATAGCACAGGGGGGCGTCAGTGCCCATGACACATTCCAAGAAATTCAGAAGTCCTGTTTCATTGTGTTTTAGTGGCTGAAATACAGAACAACAAAGAAACAAATAATGATTGGAGATGTGCTAGTACATGCACTTGCAGTGTGTTTTCAGTTAAAGGGCTGGTGCATATGTGTTTCCCAGAAAGCCAAATGGCCACTAACCCTTTATGTCCCAATAGAGACCAATAGCAGTTTTCTCCTAACAATATCCATACATTGTCAAGAGATAAGGTTGTGAGAATATATAAAATGACCATGAAAGAGAAAATGCCTTGATGTTTTATTAAATCCTCTCAGCTAATTCTTAAAGGAAATGTATGGAGATCAGTTTGGAGAATTTGTATGTGGATACTGGGGCTTAAAGGGTTAAAAGCCAAACGACTCTGATGTTAAAGTAATAACAGAGTAAGGAATCAAGTTCAATATTGTGGGCCAGTATACAAGAGCACACTGGGACCTGATTCATTCAGTTTCCCGACCGACCCTAACAACTAAGAGTCATAAACAGTTGTTTGGCATTCTGTAAAGCACTGCTGCCAAAAATAAAAAGGGTCATTGTTATCTTAACATGCACCATTTATGTTGTGGTTTATTTTTATCCTTGGTTTTCGCTTGTACAATAGTTAGTAAATTCAACACACCACTGTCATTACACCATGGTTTCGGCTGACTCAAAGTTTGACATTTGTCAGATGCAGACATTGATTCTCTTATTGATGATGCAATTCCTAAAAACACCAAGAAAGCAACTGCTTGGGGAATATCTGTGATGAAAGGTAAGGTTGCAAATTTTAAAGTTTTCATTCAAGATAGTTGAGGTGTTTTTGCGTGTTGTCAACAGTTTTGCCAGCTTTGTGCAGTACATTCAATTTGAACAATAAAAATGTTAACACACTCACTGTTTGTAAATTATTGGGATTTGCCTGTACTCGGTCACTAACAATGAACTCCAATTTTCAATCCCGCAGAATGCAAAGCCTCGTGCGGTATTGAAATTATTTCTCGTTTATTGTTAGTGAACTCGTGCATGTAAATCCCGATAATTCACTTGCTGAGTGCGTTAACCTGTAATTAAACAAGAGTGATAAATAAATAAATAACTACCACAGAAATCACACAAAGAGAATATTATTTCTAAAAAAGACACAAGTTCAGATCGATCGATCTTTGCATCCTACAGGACGCATGCTATGAATTATTTTGCGTTTTCAGGAATTTTTATGACACAGGATGCAGAAGTAACAAAATCACTGCTAATGTATTATTAATTTTTTAAAATACATTTTGTATGCATCTGGATTTCTGACTTCACTAAAATTCCCAATGGAATGCAAAAATTATATCCATTAAGAGGAAATAATTATTTTGTTTGCCAGAATAAGTAAAATACTACTGTCATGTAAGTAATAGTTAAGCTTCTCACCCCGTCTGGCTTGAAGAATTTATTTGCCATGTGCTCAGTAAAGCCAAAAGTGGGAGCCTCTCCAACAGCTGCAGGAAGCTGAAAAGAATAATAAAGGTCAACAAAAAGCTAGACTGCAAGTAAGCTCTCCATCTGGGGGATATCATAAAAAGTAGACAGGAGAGGAGACACAAAAGCAGGGGAGGGGGAGAGAAAGGTCCATTGCAGCTTCACCGCTCGCTTGTGAATTTTCTCGTGTGGCTCTCTTCGCTCGCCCAAACAGAAGAGCTTGCTGGCAAGTTAACAAGAAAGCTACATAATGAGTGTGAACTAGATGTCCTCTCCACTAAATGCATGGCTTGTATGGGAAAAAAAAAAAGAAGGAATCATCTATGAAGGCTGCTCTGAACCCTGCCGCTGAGCAGATACAGAACATGCAAATAATAATATGTTTGAATAATCTAAGGCCAGATTGTTTTCCCCAAGAAATAAAAGTACTTACAATAATGATATTATTGAATTTCTATCAAAAGGGAAAAACTGCCTAAAATAACTGACAAACACTGAATAAAATGATGAATAGTTTTGGCTGATCTATAAACAGACAGTACTAGTACCTGTTGATTACAATAATATTAGCAGGCTAACTAGGTTTTATTAACTGGGTTATATTTTTTAGTTAAACCTGGTTTTATTCTTCAAAACCTAATGTGGTTAGTAGAGTTTAACAGAGTTAATATTGTGATGAGAGGTAGGACATAAAAGTGCCTTTAAAAAAAACTAAACTGAATTTTGGCACCACACAAATGAAACAAAGTGCATGTACAGGTGTATTAATATTGCGTTTCCTAAAATAATGTAGTACTTGGGAGTGTGGTAGAGCCTAACTTTTGTTACCGGTAATTCTAGTGCTTAGGAAGAGATGATCAATAATGATTGACTGAGAATGCCATTGACCTTTATATATGAGGGAGGGACTAACAAGATCCCAGTGAAAATCCTTTCCAATTTCATGCATTTTAAAGTTTTTTATGATATTATTTGTCGATTGAAACACTAAAACAGGAAGATATACAAGTAGATTTGTACAGTGTGGGTACCACTCTCCTCTACGTTTCTTATGTATTTTTTACAGCATTTTAGTAGGGATCTGATTTACAGATAATGTTATCAATGTACAATCTTATCCAACCTGTAACAACTCTCTCAGGTAAGCTTCAAACTTAGGGAAGTTCAACAGGCCATTGTCATCTTCTATCTGTGAAAAATGGTCTAAAAGAAAAAAAAAAGAAGGTGAAAAGCTGTTTTTTCATACAAAAAATGCACTTTCGGTGTCAATGTATTTGGCATGAAAGTACTTATTGGGGAGGCTGTGTATAAAAGTGGGACGGGGACAAGGGGACGGGGACATCGGGACGCGTGTGTGGGGACTTGGGACTTGGGGACGCGAGACGAGGGACTTGGGGACGTCAAGTATGGGACGCGGGGACGTCAAAAACTGGGACGCAGGGAACCCGGGATGTTAATGATTATTGCAAAAGTCGGAGGTAAATGCGATATCTCTTTCTTCGTGAAAATGTGTTATTTATGGTCAACATTAGATTCCATCTTCCAAAACCACATTGGACACCTTATGATGTTTACACAAAATGTTTCTTTATAGTAGAAGTATTAAAAGCCCACTGACTATCGTGATCAGGTTTAGGGTTGATTTCCACTGTCGCGTAATTTTTCCATGCCTACGCGCGTAAAATTTACGATCGCACATAAAATAGAGGCAATGTCTGAAAGGCCGCACGTAAGCGTAAAAGTAGAATCTCGCTCAACTTCACGTTTAATCTCGACAATTTATATCTTGCCTATCTTATTTACGTGATTAAAATTTACTTGCGCATAGCCAAAAACGCTTCGGTGGAAATCAACCTTTAAGTACTGTTAGCAAGCATTTACTGTTAGGTTTGCCACTAAACTGGTTGCTAAACGATTGCTGCAATAGTTGAATCCCTCGTGGTTTAGTGGTACAGGCGATGGATTTCGGAGTTAGAACTTCGGGATTCGAAGCTCGCTAATGCCACTTAATTTTTATTTATTTGGAATCGAATGCTGTCATTCTACATAATTTTTGGCAACCGCAACCCACCCTACCCTACTGGCTCCAATATTCCATCAGCAAGAAGACTAGGACGACGGTTTCACTTTTTTCAATGCAGGGGGTCTTCGCCGAGTCTTCTCTTCGTAAACAGGCATGGAGGAACCCTAACGAGGGCAGGGTGGGTTTCCTTTCACCAAAACATATTCACGAGGAAAGTGAATGATATCGCATTTACCTGCGACTTTTGCAATAATCATTCACATCCCGCCTCCCCTGCGTCCCTGTATTTGACGTCCCCGCGTCCCCGTCCCACACGTCCCCGCGTCCCATAGTTGATGTCCTCAAGTCCCTCGTCTCGCGTCCCCACGTCCCAAGTCCCCACACACGCGTCCCGATGTCCCCGTCCCCTTGTCCCCGTCCCACTTTTATACAAAGCCTATTGGGGACACTATTTTTAGGATCACCATTTTATGTGGTCATCCGAGTCAAATGAAAGTCTAACCATTTGCAGGGCAAAGGCTTCATTCCTCAGTTATTTTAAGATCTTGAGAGTTGATCCAGTCCCACAGGGATGAATCTAGGGGGAGGATGCAGGGGGTGCCCCCCTCCCCCCACCCGAGATGACCCGTGGCTTTCTAATACAACTGGTATTTTTCAAAAAAAAAACTTTGTGGTTTATTGGTGTAGAAGGGCTTACGGTATTCCGCGAAACGAAACGAAACGAAATGAAACGAAACGAAACGAAACGAAACGAAACGAAATGATTAAGAAGATATTACACAAGCAAAAGGGAACGATGGCACTAAGAATTATTCCCGGCCTCTCTTCGAAAACTGTCCTCGCTAGATGGCTATTTTCTAGTAAAACACAGACTGAGATTATACGTGATTTCTTACATCTAAGTTTATCCACAAGACGGCCAGCACACAGTGTTGAAAGAGCTGTTTTGACTGACAATACACGTATCCTACCAATAGCATCACTGCAATGCAAAAATCAGTGAAGAATCAGCTGAGATCACTCTTATGCTATTGAATCAAACATTAGGTTAGTAAGATCCAAATGTACATGCAATTATAGTCACACCACAAAAAATAAAATAGAAATTAATAATATTTCAAAACAGGTCATAATTATTTTAACAAATAAATTGCATATTTAACTAATAATTAAGAACCTTCACTGGATCACTAAATCCTCTTCATGTAAATAAATATTGCAGAGCTTTAAAAAAAACACTTGAATTTTAGCTTGACTGTTGAACAACCAGCTCTCACATTTTGCTCAGCTCAGCAAGTTGAATACATTTGTCTTGCCATAGCTTACTTCTTTATCACCACGAAAAGCTCAAGCATAGAAGAAAAATTGCCCAGCAGGAATAAAATCTACTAGTCTCCGCCTGTGATCAATAGGCAGGATTTTTTTGAGTAATACGTGTTTAAATTTATTTTTCAACAAATCAAGCTAAAAAAATATAGTAACAATAAACAGGTTTTATTCATCATAGAATAAAAAGAGAACATTTCTCATTGGGTAGCCTAATAATTCTGATTACCTTTTCCTGCCTAGCCTTTGGTGCCCTTGATATACACGTGTAAAAGAAGAAGTTTTATCAACATGGTATAACACATCAGGTATTGAAAAACCCCAACTGTCTCTCCAGCTGGGCAAGTTACATGGTCAGTTGCTTGATGGGTCAGGGCCCAGGCAAAATGTCAAGTCTACAAACTATAGTATGACATGCATGCAATGGCCCTGAGTGAACAAAATATGAGATTTGCTTGTCCATGGAGCATACAATAGCCCACACTCGATATAATTATTAACTTTCTAACATGACTCCAAGGCTCTCTGGTCATTTTTCTATATTTGGTTTGGTTTTCTTTGTCTTTAAGTCTCTTCTGAGAACTGCAAGACAATGGAGTCATGTAAAATTTGCAATTTTGACCTTAAAGCCTCGAAGTATTGTTAGAATTATTTTTAATATAATTATATAGAATGCGGGTTAGTCTGCCATTTCATTTCTGTGCGTATATAATCAATAAAGTAATTTCCAGTTCCTTTAAATTAAAAGAACTTTTCTAGCAGTTCAACAGATCTCACCTGTCATATGCATATAAAAGCCAGTTTGTTACCAAGCTTATTGACCGCTCAACATCAATATAGTGAGTTGTGGGCAATCGCTTGTTCAAGGCATAAAATATGCTTGATACGATCGCTTCCAGTCGTGTTTCATGCAGCTCTGTGTTGTGGTCAAGAGTGTTTAGTCCATTTTCTCGAAATGCTTCAATCATGTTAAAAACGTCAACCAAGTACACTATCAGGAAGTAAACAAAAAATTCTCAATGTTAACTTTAATTCTGTGAACTTGCACAGGTTAACATGATACTCTGCACATCAGTCTTTACAAGATAATATAATGTCATAAAAAAGCTTAAGCTACTCTAAACCAGGGCAGAAGGATGTGATAAGTGCTAAATCAGAGAATGGTATGATACGAGTTAATCTACTATTCACTTCTGATTCTACAATTACGTAAATTCTCAAGATTCGTTCTACCATTCTCCAATTTAGTGCTCAGAATCGGAGAATACTATAATAAGAGTTGTGATCCATTATTCACTTCCGATTCTACAATTATTTCAATTCTCAAGTTTCATTTACAATTCTCTGCTTCTCGGATAACTAAGATTTCTTAGTCACCCAAGGGCAAATTTAACAAAATGCCACACCAGCTCAGAAAAAAATGATCAACAGTTAGTTGTTAATCTGCACCGTCATGGCAAAAAAAATTAACTAGGTCTTACAGTTTGTCTTGCTCTGCACAAAAAGAAGTTTGGCAGCGGATCGATAGGCAGCGAACCTGATTTCATCAAAACCTTCCTCATCTGCAAAAAAGAAAATAAATCATTTTAGCAACAAAATAACAGTTTGAAGACAGGAAAAATAGTACGTAACTAGTAATAACCAAAGGTTACGGAGGGCAGGCGACAATGATCAAAGGCCAAAAGGCTTTAGCCCCAATGCATGCTGCTGTGTTTTGTGCATGTTTCATGTGATCAGATGGTCAAAGCACCCATAATCAGATTACAAGTGATAGAAGGTCCAAATGCGAGTGATCAAATTGCGTTCTGTGCATTCCATCCATTCTTAGTGGAAGTCCAAACAAATACTGGCTACATACAGTTGTACAAAATACACAATGTAACAACACGGAGATTAGGATTGCAGGCTCTTCTTGTCACCTGCAACAAAAACTTACTCATTTCATGCAGAAGATCTTGAAGAAGTTGATCAGCTTCATCTTTGGGAATGGATTCATTTAATATACTGAAAAAAAAACATACGGAAAAGACTCTAAATCACCACTTACAAGGATGTGGCAACACCCTGGTACTTCTACAATGACATCATATGTTTTGCCTGGGCATTAGGCAGTAAGTAAGTATGTTTTGCCTGTAATGTGCACTGTAAGTAACAGGCACAAGAAAATGTTTGTTACATTTCTATTTTCAGTCACACGACACAGGCCACTTGGAAGAAAACCAATGACCTTTTTATTGCTAGTCCAGCGACTGCGTGCTTTACCACTGAGTTATAGCAGACTGGTAGGAGCTAAGGCCACAAACCACAGGTGCATTCCTTTGGGATGATCTAGATCAGAATCAGTGATCTGTGATCACTTGGATCATGGTAGATCAAATGAACCAATGAATCCACTCTGGACAGGGATTTGGCAGGTCATTTGATCTACCATGATCTGAGTGATCACGGATCACTGATCCTTATCCGGATCATCCCAAAAGAAGGCACCCTACACGTAGGTTCATGTGACAAACATCCTGCATACTGCTGGGACTAGAACATCAATATGTGTCTATGTAAAATGATAGAAATCTGATTGGTAAATCTGGTGAATACTTGACCAAGATGTTTTTATTTTCTGTTTTTAACCTGATTAAAAAAGACTAAGGTGTTTCAGAAGAAAAAATCTACAGGTATACTACGACTCGAACCTGTAACATTAAGGTTACTAAATGTAGTCCAGATTTTTACTGCCACAGTGTTAGCTCAGTTGGTATAGCATGTGACTGCAAAACGAAAAGTTGCAGGCTCGATTCCTGGGACTGGACCAATACTCAGGGTCTTAAATAAAATAACTGAGAAATGAAGGTACTTCCTCTGCACTGCAAGCAGATAAACATTCGCGTGGTTTGGATGACAATGTACATGTAAAATAGCGGTCCCGTCTCCAGTAGGAGACGTACATAAAAATAGTATCCCCGAGTACGTGTAGTATGCTCATGCTAAATACGTTGCCACTGAAATAAAAAATGCATTCTCTACTACTGAGATTACTTACTTGCCAGCTAAAATGGGTGATGGTGTTCCCTCCAGTATCTTCCTATCAAAAAAATAAAAAGAATGAGAAAGTTTTCAACATGCATCTACATTGTAGGCCTTTGCCTTAACTTTATTCATTCCCTACCATCTGACAACCTAGCTTTGGCAAAATAACAGGTTACTTTAAGCCATGTCTCTGACTAACAAGTTCAATGTTGATCTAATAACAAGACAATTTAAGCAACCAAGTAGGTGTTATGAGATGAAATCGGCAAACAAACATGTTTAATTATACAACTGTTACACAGGTACATTTCCCATCTTTTATATTTTGATTTTGGGAGGGGATAGAAATGACACCAACCATAATTATCTCTTTGAAGTTTGTGGCCATGAAAGCACTTAAGGTAGACTGTAATGTATTGCACCAAGACCTCAATTTCTAAACTTTAAAGAATTTGTCAAAAATAAAATACTGCAGCCCAACTTTTCAGGGTTTTCATTAAGACTTCTAGTAGCAGGAGAAAGGTGTAACATTAAATGAGAATACTTTAAAAGAGGCTGAATGTCTGAACAATAATTATTAACTAGTTATAGCTATCGCTAAGTGACAATGAGCAAAGATTTCAGGGGCAGTGGCAGCCACAGACAGCTGTTTCACCCTTACTAGGGCCCACCAGCGTGGCACAGCCATTGGGTTAATGGACAGGGCAAACCCGCATCTCAAAAACTCCTTACTGCCGAGGTGAGTGCAAAGCAGTCTATCAAGTGCCAGCTCCACACAACACATGTGGGAGCTGTTGGCTGGGAACCGAACAGCAGTTCCACCACAACATGTGCGGGGAAGGTGGATCACGAATTACCGGTAAATCACAGCAAGGGGCACACATACACCAACCCACGGCCTAGCCATTACCTCAAATATGCGCACAGCCATATCACGCGGGCAGTGACAGCCATGAGCAGCTGTTTCACCCTTACTGGGGCTCATCAGCATGGCATAGCCATCGGTCAATGAAGGGGAAAACCCATGTAGAAAAGACCCTTTCCTGCTGTGAGTCCTTTAAGTGCTAGCCTGCGCGCAGACGAAATTAAACTCTGGTTAACTCCGTCTGCGAAACAGCGCCGAAATCCTTGTTCTGGACTTCCAGCTGTGTCCCCAGATTTGAGTACGCACCACGATTGGCCAGTTAAAAAAGACCTTTGTTTTGTTTGTCGCAAGACTGATAATAAGCAATCAGGTTGAAGGGAAATTCGAAACGCACTTCCGGTAATTCGTTGAGTCGGTTGGGGGTCCAGAACAAGGATCTCTGCGTTGCTTCGCAGACGGTACTAATCAGAGTTTAGTTATCGTCTGCACGCAGGCTATTTAAGTGCCAGCTCCACACAACACATGTGGCAGCTGCTGGCTGTGAACCGCATGGCAATTCTCCCACGACATGCACGGAAAAGGCAGATCATGGGTTTGGTGTATGTGTGCCCCTTGCTCTAATTTCTCTTTTGAAAATAGTGAACTAAACTGTTCTACTGCATAAAGAATTTGAAGTGCTGACTTTATGCAGCATATTTTCTCTCGATATTGAAGTTTGCGTTTTTGTCCGAAGTTGTGAACATGTCATTTTGTGTAAAATTTAGTGGTCTTATAAGCAAACTTAAAATCCTCGAAAAATCATATTTATATTATAAGTCCAGGAATTTTCCATGTACAGACTTATATTTGGTCTCTTTTTAAAGCTAACAAAATTTATGGTGGGCCAATGAAGCCTTACAAATTATTTTGTTTCAAAGACACAAAAAATTTTGCCGTGTTATTATTTTTCTTAGCGGCTTGCAATGAAAAATTCCACCGAGCAAATGCGACAGACATCGCGTAGGATGGAAATGATCCACCCAACGATTAGCTGAAGAAGGGATGAGCATGGGACTCACAAACACGCACACAGCTCATGGATTCTCTGATCTGTATCATGTGTTTGCTCCAAAACGATGCATTCTCTGCATTACATCATGGCTGCCTTACATTACTCTATGTTACATCAATTTGGGATTTTTTCTGCCCCTGGAACAACCGCCCACGGCTCTATTAGCTTCCGCATCGCAGCCTTGTGTCTTTGCAAGGCTGCTTGTTGCCAATAATAGTCAGGCTATCTGACGTTAGCCAGAAAATTACGTATAGTAAACGGAAAATTGACAATTTCCAAAGCCTACTGAACACTCTGCTTCTCTTCCAGAACATACAAAAATATTACCTAATTTAACTTTAGGTCATAACTAACTTACATGAAATAGCATTTAATTCTCTGTGGATTGCTTTAACACTGTTACTATTGCTTATAACTAAAGAGGAAATTTCTAACTTACACCCGTTTTGATTTGGAGTCCTTTAGTGGACAAGCTTCACTTTCCTTCTGTATCATCTTAAAACATTCCCAGTGAAACCTATTATCCAGCAGTTCACTTTTCAGTTAATTGTGAAGTAGGAGAGTAAAGATTCAACTGTATTGACAAAATTCCTCCAATTTTCAAATTCCTTTATATGAACAAAAATTACCTTACTGCAGCCAATACTTGATGGTGATTAGCAGGTGTGTGTGAGCCAATATTAATTAATCTTGCCATTCATTAGGTTTTAATTAAAATGAGGAGATAATTGACCTGACATTTTATTTTTGTTAAAGGATGTAACACAAAATTTGGGAATACAATTTACTACCACTCTACAAGTTCAACAGCTCAACTTAATTAATGGACTTCTCTCATGACTTCATTCATGAAACTTTTCTTTATTAAAAATAAATTCAGATTACATTTTTGTGGTGGCATAAGGGACACGGTCTTTTATTTAGGAAAGAAGGATATATCAGTTAATCAGCTTAACTTCAAAAATTTATAATATCACTTCAAAGAGGCTCAAAATACTCATCCATGGGGGCAAAAAGGAGAAGTTCACTATTACATTTTGATTCCAGTCAGAACGCTTTCATTCATTATCAAAAATCGATTAGCGTCTGATCACAAATATTTCCACAATTTCCAGGGTTTAAACCTTTTGGTACCCAAGAATAAGATCTTACATTTAGCTGTTTTACCGACCTACATAATATATGAGGCCAAATTACTGTCTGAAATGCCATCAGAAACTCAATCACGAAATTGGAGGCATGGCTTGGTACAAACTGAATGAAAGCAACAACCTTTGTTTATATCATCACATCGCAATCCAAAACATTTAAGGCGTAAACATCAAACTAGAGGACGCATGAGGTTTCATTTGCAGAAACTTTCACCGATTTTGGACCCATTTTATATAAAAACTACGACATGTAACAAAAGGATCCTCCAAAGAAGTCTTTCAAAAGTGTTTACCTGTTTTTACAAAGTGTTGACCTCTAAAACGAAAACAGGCGATTTCATTTTCAGCGATTATGGGTAAGGATTACTTCTACGTTGAACAGTGACCTCTGTCAAATTTCGCGATCTTGATGACTATGAAAACACTCATTGTTTTGGTTAAATAAGAAGCTCGAAAGCATCTGAAAAAGGGCATTCTTTCAGACCCAAGAAAATTGATCAAGGGCTAGCGAACAAGCTAAAACGAAATTTACTACGATCAAGACCTTGGCTTCATGAAAGGTTGTAGCCTTCAGTTTCCGGTCAATTTATTTCCAGCTGTTTAGTCATATCGAATACACCTCCATTTCGACTTTACCGTTGAAAAATTAAATTTATGCTTTGAATTTCAAATAAGACTCGCAAAAGAAAGTCACAGCCCTCTGGGCGAGGTAATATAAAATAATGAATCGAGCTTATCTCAAATGGCTTCCAGCGTCACCTTCGATGAGCTAGAAGTAATCTTTACAATTCGATGTCCTTGAAAAACTCTCGCGCCGAATAAAAAATTATAATCTCTTTCTAAATGAAGTAAAATATACGACAGATTGTAAAATGGAAAAAAAAAACGTTAGATAAACAGAGCAGCCAGTAGTGAATTTCGTGCGCGCGTTTTAACTTCATTAAACAGATTTCTGAATCACCGCGGTTTCAATAGAAGATCCACTTACGAACCGCTTCAGGTTTGTAATTTTTTGCGAGTACATAAACAACATGCAGCGAAATTCGCAAAAGGAAAATTCCTTAGCTCCATACCTTTGTTTAGGATCACAAGGTAACAAATTCCTTCACTATACAGCCCAAGGAGGTTCGATATGTGTTAGTTGCTCCGCCATTTTACAGGGCTTCTGATATTTCGCGGAAAAAATAGGAAAATTTCGCGGGATTTTCAGGGGTAAATTCGCGGAAAAATCGGCCGATTTCGCGGGATTTTCGCGGGAAAAAAGTCAAAATTGGCGGCACAATCGGCCGATTTCGGGCGATTTTGGAGGGAGAGAAGTCAAAAATCGAGAAAAATCGGCCCATTTTGCGGGATTTTAGCGGAAAAAAGTCAATTTTCGAAGGATTTTCAGGGGCAAATTCTTAGGAAAATCGGCCGATTTCACGGGAAATTTCGGGGGGAAACTTCGCAAAGAAACAATCAGTAAAAAACAGCCGATTTCGCTGGGATTTTTTTGGCAAATTTGGCTAAAATCGATCAATTTTGCGTCGATATGACCAGCGTCGGTGAACGTTTTTGTATCAGGGATAATCATTTGCTCTTTCAACAACAGTTCGCTCGAGAAATAAGCGAAATGTTAAAGCAATTAACATTATGGTTAGTGCCCAGTTTTTCGCAACGTTCATCTAAAAACGCCTGGTAGTTTTGGGACGTTGTTTACTCGTTGCAGTGACGAAGTTTCAAGCTAAATTTGGACGTTTGGGGTGAATAAAACCGGTCTAATAGCCAAGATACGTATTAAATATGTTTTGCCGATATGTATTTGGAAATATTTCTGGCGGATTTCGCGGTATTTCGCGTTTTTTTGGGAATTTCGCGGGATTTCGCGGAAATACCCGAATTTCGCGGGTCCGCGACCGCGCGAAATATCAGAAGCCCTGATTTTATGCATGCTTGTCCATAATGCTAATTTGTCACGTGGTACGTTGTTTTACATACCGGGACCACTGCCCGGCCGGAAGGCTGAGCAAAAACCGCGTTATCTTTTTCTATTCTTTTTCTCTTTTTCGTTATCTTTTCTTTTATTTATTTTATAATTATCGTTTATTGTGAAAGGAGCTTTTTTACTGAAATGATGACCCACTCCCTATATAAAACCGGTTGGGAACTCGATCCCAGTTTACACAATATGCGGCCCGGGGTGGGAAGTACTCCACAAATATGGGTATGTGCCACCTCGACGGGTGTGGTTTTCAGCCGTTTTTGCCCATTACGGTCTAAAATTGAGTATGATTTTCGAGGAAGCCACGGCACTGAATAAACTTATTTATCTTTTCAACTCCAAACAGCTCCAAATGGATACAAAAGAAAGAAAAATAAACGAAATATATCATTCGAACTGAGTTTAATGAAATCTTCACGTTAGATAAGGTAATTGGTTCACAAAACTGAGTAGAACTTTTAAAAACGAGGTCTGAAAACAGGTGAGGAAACTGTCGTGTTTTGGATTTGAAATCGGGGATCAGGATATTGGAGAACCGGTTGTCACATCTTCATCAAGAATTTTCAATGAGTACCCCCCCCGCCCCCCCTCTCCCGGGAATACGCGACAATAGCCACTCTGCATTGTGGAGTCAACACAGCGGATGTGGAAGGTTTCTGGTGCAAAAACAACAACCTTTTTGTGGGTTCGTATCCAGTACAGTCGGGGCTAATCCTAGCCTGCGAAAACGTCCGTTTCTCCTCGCTCTTCGCCGCTGGGGACGTTTCGCGTTTCGGGTCTTCTCCCTCTATAACCCTATCTAATACTCGAAAGAGGTATCTTGGTTAGGCATAAATTGTGCTCGGCAACTTTTGAGCAACTTTTAGCGCTTTGAGCAACCCTTTGTAGTACCAGCAACCTAGGGCAACTTTTGCCTTCCTTGGCAACTTTTCAGCAACAAATTGATATAAAACCAATCCAAACCATAAAAGGTCGTTTCATTTCGAAGGATTTTATTAAAACTGGTGTTATCAAAACTGATTTTATTAAAACTAAGGATATACAATAAAATGACAATAAAGTAACACTTGCATTACGCCCACGAAATCTGGACAGCGGCTATCTGTATATCTGTAAGAGTATATTGATTACAACATAGTATTTATATTTGTCATATAACAATGGCTTTTGGCCTCTTTTAATGATTGTAAGAATATTCAATGAAAATGTTTAAATAGCAACAAACAAACAAACACGTTTTGAGTATTTATCTAAAACAAAACGACTCTAGAGCAAGCAACTTTTCTAAATTTTGGTGGCAACTTTTTGATATTTGAGCAACTTTAGAGCAACTTTTGTGTATATTGTGAATCAACTTTTCCTGAATTTACTAGCACAATCTATTCATGCCTGAGTGTAAGGGTAGGGATTTCATGAGTTGAAGTATATGAAAAGCTATAGGGAGATTTATCTTTAAGGTATTTGAAATGCTCTTAATTAAATATTTCGAACAGGTGCATCTTATGAGGCACTGTAGAATTTAATGGTACCAGGATATTGATGTGCTCCTGATGGTACACGAAAAAGATCAGATTTCCCCGAGATATTGAAAGGTATGTGTAAGTGGGACTTTTTCTTCAATGTATAATGAAGTTTTTTTTTTTTAATATTCAAACAATCAAAAATTTTAACAAAATTTTCGAATTGAAGATTTTTTGTTACTTTGACAAATGAACGGGCAGTTCCACAACAGTTCCTCTTTATTCCTTTTCTCTTTCCCAGGCTAGCGCGGTAAAATAGGCGAAACTAAACAACGAAGAGAGGTAAGAGACGAAAAGACAAGACCGAGTGACAAATGAGGAACCGCATAAAGTCCCTTTACTAATTACGTTGAGTGACGGTTGCTATGCTCAATTCCCTGTTATAATTAAATTAATTCTAACCAATCACTATTTTCCGGTGCTCAGAATCTGAGCGTGAAAAATGGAGAAAACAATGTTCTCCTTGCAGGCGTTCCTTTCCTTTCTCCCTCTCATTCACTCTTTTGTATACTGTGGCATGAAGCTTGGAACATAAGGCAATTGAAGCATTAACAGTTATTTAGTAGGGAGGGAGGGGGGAGAAGGCAGAGGGCCGGGTCGCTTTCATGGGGGATCCGGCCAGCTACACAGGCTACAAATCTACAGGAAACGGCCACTAAAGTACGACCCAACTGCCAATTAATGTACACTTTGTACCTCACTGTTCTGTTTTAATTTGTTTAACTCCTTGTTCACAATATTTGGTAGCCTGCGAACGCAGACGTACTTCTGATTCTTGCTTTTCTCCACCAGAAAAGTAACGATGTTACTTTTAGCGACAACTGGAAAAACGTCTGCGTAGACAGGCTTAGCCTCCGTTGCGGACGCCGGCTTTTTAGAGCGAAGGGAGAAATCTCGACGACGCGCGCGCAAGGGTAGAAAAGGAGAGGAAGCATTTTCTTCCCGTCGCGCGTTATCCTCGCGCGGCCTGTAGGCTACGACGAACCTACTTCGTTTCCACATGACGTAATGACCGCCACATCGGTGTACCACAACAATGAAACCGGCATTTTTTTATTTAGTAGGCAGGATGGCGAAAACAATGGCTTCCTTGCGGGCGTTTTCCCCCCCCGGAGGAGGGGACCCCGTATATGAAAGGGGTGGGGATGCTCGTCGTCTCGCTTAGTGCTGTAATTTCGGATTTTGGTCTCGCTTAGGGTGTTCTGGGCAAAACGCTATTATATTTAGCCGTAAAGGTATCTTTTAGGGTTGCAATCGAAAAAATATTAAAAAATTGTATGTTTTCAATTCGTTTTATTTACTCGATTCACGTAATCAAAGTATAAGATGATCGCTTTTAGGGGTCAAAAAAAGGTTGGGCCATGTCCCGATTGGTCTCCTTTATGGGTTTAATTCAAAATTTCCGACGAGCATCCCCACCCCTTTCATATGCGGATTTCCCCCGGGCGTTCCTCTCCTCCCTCCTCCCTCCTCCCTCCACCCTCGCGCGTGGTCTCGCGCCCTAATTAATATTCCCTTCCCCTTCCCTTTCGAAATTTGTTTCAAATAAATTGTATAGTCGCCGACCACGCGAGTGAAAACGATTTATTGATGTATTTTGATTGTGCTGCGTGCTGATATGCTGTAATCAGTATTTCCAATGGGAAAAATTTTCTTCAAAACAGGCCAGGAGTCAAATGTTACACCCGCTGACTCAGAACCGGCACCTTATTCTCCACAACAGCCTCTTACTTCTATCCCAAGGGTACCCTGGGTGCCAGAGGCTTTTCATGCGCGGTTTCCGGTTTCGGATTGAGCGAGACACAGTCTAGACTAGACAGCGGGCGGTCGTCTTTCTTTCCTTAGACCCAAGCGCGGCGAACGAAAAGGTAAAATTACGCAAATTTTAAAATGGCAAAAAAGGAGGGGAGATTGGGGCGGGAGAGGAAAAAGGACGACCGCGGAGGTTTAATCGTACTTTGAATTACCGTTTCATTGGTCGCCTACTTGTCAATCTGTCAAAAACAAAAACAGCTCAGTCCCAAAGGAGTGCAATTTTCACGGCGGCTTTTTGCAACACATGGCGAACAGGGTCCGTGAACTGCACTCCACGGTTCCAAATGGTCTTCAAGGAAGCCAATTGCTTTTGTTGAACCTTGACTATATTCTCGGTCAAAATATGTCCTCTTTTCGCACCATAGTTTTTTTAGTACGTGAGGATGAAAGGACAATTTCAGTTAGTTTGCCCGGTCTATAATATTGCGAGGCTTCTGGACCCTTTTTGCTTTCTTTTTCGCTTTCTTTTAGAAACTCCCCTTCTTTTCCGGGATTTTCAGGATTTATTGCGCCACCATTATTGCAATATCTCACCGATAACTGGAGAACTACGAGATCCTTTTTGAAAACCATATTTTATATGAAAAAGTCATCTCAATTAAGATTATTATTATTATTATCATTATTATTATTATTATAACCAAACAGCAGTGAAAAGACAATCAAAGACAAGCTGTTTGTTTACAGCGAAAAGCACGCGAAATAAAGGGATCGAGGAGCTGTCAATAACAGCAAAAAAGGAGGCGTGAAAAACGGCAAATCGCCAGATCAGAGATCCTATCGCAGTCTCTTATTTATTTTTCGCTTGGGCTCCGCCCTCGTCTCTCGCAGCTTCGCCGCTCGCCCCTCACGCCCGTCCTCGTTTCTCGTGCTTGCATTCTACCGTGTCTCAAAAGAAAAATAAGACACCGCTCACAGTCTAAGTCTAGACGGGATTGAGGAACCCTATTTGGGGGCCTCCTTACAGACGCAACCTAAGGCGTAAAGAGTAGGTTAGTGCTCTTGGAAAACCAACATTATATTAACATTGAACGGTGATGAAAAAAAAAAATTCATATAAAAAGGAAACAAGAAGTGGCCAGAAGACTGCACTTTGTCAGTTAAAGGGGAGAGTTTGACTATACTTTTTGCGTAGTGTAGGCAATAGATACATCAAAATCAACAGATAATCACCAGTTACAGAAAATAAATGAGAGTAAAAATACATGACAAGAATCTTAATCTGTATTTCAGTATCAATAGACAGAGCTTTTACTTGTTGATATCAGTCATTACACAAGACACTCTACAAAAACCGAATCAAACATGTTTCTTTAAAAAACACTTGTTTCTTCATTTGAAGCACACTGAGAGGTCCTCGAAGAAAAATCAATTAAAACCATAGCCCACCGAGACAAAAATTCTTGTCGAGACAATTTAAGAACGAGATACATGAACAAGTAACTTCCAGCCGCTTCCTTGCCTTTTAACTTTCATACTTCGGGCATTTCAATATTACAACCTTAATCTTTGACTTACTAGTACAAATTAAATTAATCCTCCTTTTATAAACGTACATCCACTTTTTTGTTTATCTTACACGCCTCATTAAGAGAAGCTGCACCAGCGACACCCACACTGTTATAAGTCAAATCCAACATGTTCATGGAGGAGTTTGCTTTGAGGGCCTGGGAAAGACAAGAAGCACCAACGTCACCAATAATATCATAGCTCAAATCCAAAGCAGTCAGAGAGGAGTTTGCTGTTAGGGCTTTAGAAAGAGAAGACGCACCGGCGTCACCAATACTGTTATCACTCAAATCCAAATCGGTCAGGGAGGAGTTTGCTTTGAGGGCCTTGGAAAGAGAAGAAGCACCGGCGTCGTCAATTTTGTTTATACTCAAATTCAAATTAGTCAGGGAGGAGTTTGCTTTGAGGGCCTTAGAAAGTGAGGAAGCACCAACGTCGCCAATACTGGTTGAACTCAAATTCAAATCAGTCAGGGAGGAGTTTGCTTTGAGGGCCTTGGAAAGAAAAGAAGCACCGGCGTCGCCAATACTGTTTAGACTCAAATTCAAATTAGCCAGGGAGGAGTTTGCTTGGAGGGCTTGAGAAAGAGAAGAAGCACCGGCGTCGCCAATACTGTTTAGACTCAAATTCAAATTAGTCAGGGAGGAGTTTGCTTTGAGGGCCTGCGACAGAGAAGAAGCACCGGTGTCACCAATAAAATTACCCTGCAAATTCAAAAAAGTCAGGGAGGAGTACCAGGAAAGGGAAGAAGCAACATCGTCGTCAATGTGGTTGAAACTCAAATCCAAATGAGTTAGGGAGGAGCTTCTTTCGAGGACCACGGAAATCACAACAGCACCAACATTCATAATTTCAGCGCTGGACAAATCCACTTCAGTGAGGGAGGACATGTCAAGGTGCTTAGCGAAAGTATATCTTAAGCAAGTTAGCCTTCTCTCTTCATCTTTCCATTTCCATTTTACAAGGCTTAGATCGCATTCCACAACACACGCACAAGCCAACGCCATATACGATTTAACGTTTTGGTCAGATGTACGGAGAAGACCACTGATATGCTTGGCCATACTAATAAGGGTGGATTTTACAGTTTTCTCGCTTTCTGATGCCATGATTCCACTCATGAACAAAAAGACCCCTTTCAGTTCCTTCAAATATCTTTCATCGGTTAAAACGTCGGCAAAGTTAATTTGTCCGTCGATAATCTGAAACGCAAGATAAAAACCAGCAAAAAACTCCTGAAAGCTTTTGTGTGAAAATACACAGCGTGTGCAAGGTTTGCTCTTCGTGCCGCCTTGTTGAAAAGAGAAGAATCCAAAGTTGTCCATATCCTTTTCTTTTACAAAGTACCACTTCCCCTTAAGAAGGGAATCTAACGAGAACCGGCCCAAAAGTTTGATTTTTTCCCTATAAACTGAAATCAAGTCTTGACCATTGCTGCTTTTAAGTCCATTTTTTTCTTGATATCTTCTTAAAACAAGGAGAACGATTTCAATGTACAATCGGGTTCTGCTGCTTTCAGAAAAAATTTTTTCGGAATCTTCGAAAATACAACAGAGTAAAGTCAAGTTAAGTGGATTTTTCGCCAAATCGGCGAAGCCGCGGTTAATATCATCAGTTGGGTCAGCATACCAATATTCAACATGATCATTAATAAACTTCTCAGCTAAGTGATCCTTGCCCCGAAAAAATTTTCTGATAAAGCTTTTCGAATCCTCTTTGGTGAATCCTACAATCTCCCACAGGGTATCACAGTATCGGCTTACTTTCTGTCCAACCTCATGACGCGAAGTGATGACAACGTGACAAGCTGAGAGGAGTTTACACGTGACCAGCGAGAGGTAGATGTCTTGTTCACAGGGGTCTGCCTCATCTAATCCATCCAGCAATAGCAGAACTTTGGATTGATTTTCCTTTATGTATTTGAAGAAAGTCTCCTTGGCCTTTTCGTCGATATCTTCAGGAAGAATTTGATCATCAATAGCCCTCCAAATGCTCGATTTTATGTCGTTGCATCTAAGCAAGAGCAAAACTTCAATCTCTGAAAAGGACGGGTCCCATTCATTTTGTTTGTTTGCCCAGTCATACGCCAGTTTTTGTGAGTAGGTAGTTTTTCCCATGCCAGGATCCCCTTCAATCAATACTTTATGAGGCTTCTGGCACTTCGGGTGGGGTCTAAAGATGCCTGTCATGTTGGTGATTTCATCGTCGGTCAATGTTCCTCGCGCTGTTTCTCTGTCCACAATCTTCGATCGTGTTAACATAGCATTCAGATTAAAATTAGGATAATCACACCAAGCGAATGGTGCTAGTTTCCCTTCACGGCCTCGGTAAAGCTGACGAATCTTTTCTGTGATATAAGTGGGCAACCCTACGAAGACAAAATACTACAAATTAGATCGATTTCGTTTTATTACAATGCCACACAGCATTTACATTTGTTGTTGGTAGAGGAGATTCACGACCTCAGTTCACAAGTACATGTACGGACTCGTTGAAGCCATCTCTATCAGGTGACACACTTGCCTCCTGGCTCTATTTTTTTTTTTTTTACTGCATTTTGAAAAGGATGTGAGGCACAAAGGGAACAAAAAAAACAACAACAACAACAACAAAAAACAACAACAAAAAAAAACTAGCGGAACAGGTAGCGGATATACGTTTCAAAGGTGGACTTTAATTGAAGTATACAGTGAACCATAAACTGGCCATAGATTTTTAGTCCCGTTCACAATTCAATATATTGTAACTTAACCAAGAGATACCTGCAAGAGGCTGCTGGGTCATGGACTCAGTTTGCTGAGATGTACTAACAGTATACATTCCCCTTTTGGTTTGTGTTGAGCTCTGATCATTGGAGAAAGCACCTGCTGAAGAAAACATAATTCTGAGACTAGGACCACTTGAACATAGACACAACGTTGTATTTGGAGCCGCTGGGTGGGGCGGATTTACGACCTCATTTGCGCCTCCTGATAGGCTGTAATTGAGTACAATTGATTCAAAAGTGTAGACTGAGGTAAAGATAATTCTATGATGAGCCTTTTTTGCTTCACTATGTGCGCGACTCTTGATTTATGTTTTCTCACTGTGTTTTAAAATGAAGATGCACAAAGTGTACAGAAACAACGAAACAAGTAATGGGAAGGCATTTTAAAGAAGAGAATTTTAAAAGAATGTGGCTAATATATTAACTGCATGGTTCTCAGTTAGCTTCCGCTTTTGAAGCGAATCAAGTGATCGATTTTGTGAGATTTATAACAAGCCTGTGTCAAGAAAGCAAATTTTCTAACTTAATGTCATTTCCACTGGCAAGTACAATGATTATGTTAGTTTTTCTTTCTTTCCTAGCTAGCTTGCTTGCTTTCTTCTTCCTAAAGGACCAAATAGCTTCTTTTAAATTAAAGCAAATTGAAGGAAGTGTCGCATGTGTATTTCATTATTGCGTGGATGAGATCGAGTCTGATTATTCAATTAATTATGGCGCGATACAAGCAAGAGATTCGTTTAGAATACAGCGTCCAGTCAACAGTTTAACATGTAACATGAGTTAAGACTTTCTTCTAGTATTTAAAACAATTCTGTACCATGTACACCTCTCCGGACAATATTTCTGTCTTTGCCGCAGAGAAGTAGTGACGTCACTGGACGGCATTAGCGGTTCGTAGATTCAGACGTCTTACGCGGGCGATTGCGACTCGAGGGAGGTTTACTCTTAAAACGTTAAACTCATAGTTTAATAAGGCCGATCTTGTTTCATGACTAATGTGAGGTCACTTGGCAATGAATATGGAACATTGGAGAAACGCATTTAATTAGAAGTACCTTCAACTAAACGCAAATTCTCTTCTACCCCTGCATTAAGTTATAACTAGCTAAACTTAAAAACAATCGATACCTTGGTAATGAGGCCAAGTACGAAAAACACCAGGATCACTTAGTATGTGTGAGACAAGAGATGCTGCCATCGCACTAGCACAGGCTTTCCAACTTCCTGCATTCACTTGCTCACCATCTGCAAAATCAGCTATTCCTTTAACAATGAGCCACTCGAGTTGAGTATCATATGCAGCTGTGAAAACACCTAAAATATGGAACACATTTAGGATATATTATTTTTTGTAAATGACCTCTATGAAAGAAACTAAAAAATCAATTGCCTGGCACATAGACTCACTTGCAATTCTTTACTTTCAAATTCGGATCTATTAATATTTTTGACGATTAAACTTGAATGAAAATTTCTCTTTTATTGCAAACTGGAAGTCAAAAGACCAGAGACAAGAAAAGACTGAATCAAAAGATGCCTACAACCCAAGGACAGAAAGTAGGATAGGTTATGATTTTCGTGATGTTTGGTTTTGCTTTTTTGACAACAACTTTTTTCAGTGGACATTTTTCCTACATTTTCTTTATTCCTGTTGTTTTTTTTTTTTCATGTTTCCATACCGCCACCAACAGGGTTGCTCCAAGTCCACCACTCGATATATGGGATAAACCAGACAACAATACCTCGGTTTGCTCTGACAAAGGGCTGGCGTTTGAAATATCAAACTTGCAATCTCTTTTACGTTCAGGTAAAACCCGCCAACATCTACACCTTGTATAAGCCCTCCACGGTAGAAAACCCCCAGGGAGACCGCAGAAGTCCTTTTTCAGCCAAGTACAGAAATGTACCGACCCCAATAAGCATTTCTAAGAGGGAGGCATCGTGCCCACTACGCAAGACCGAAGTTAGTTGGAGACGCCTTACAGTCGACTGGTCTTCGGTCGACCGATGATGATGATGATCTACGATAATAAAATTAATTCTATAATTTCAGTTGAAAAAAATTGCGTTTCACCCTTCTACCGACCTTGTACCGCAGTTTCTTCAAAAATAACCACTTTTTAAATACAGCTGACTTAATTCCTTTTCTTTGGTTAAGCCTAATTTGCGGCTGTAATTAAAGGTCTGCGTTACGATTGAAAGCTGTCCATGTCGGACCTATCCAGGCGATCCCAGATCAGACTCTGACACCATAGACAAATAAAATGATGTTCCCATTTATTTTACCGATTACATGTATGACTCTTGTTTGACTCTATTTTTGCGCGAAAATGTCGCTAAGTGTATGTCTGCTATGTGAAGCGGACCGCGGAAGTGTCTTGTCATGCGATTTTCACAAAATATTTTCATCGAAACAAAAATATATATTATTACCACAAGGCAAGAAACATGTAATAGGAAATTAAAATGGAAGAAAATATATTCTTTGTTTCGTTGCGAAATAGCATATTCCAGCTTTTCCACGTAAACGTGGGGGTTGGGACGCTCATGGAAACGATATTCAATATTTTATTGTAGAGTATAAAGAAAATCAATTGATTCAATAATGTTCCGCCGTGGACAAGGCTTTAGACTTGAGGAAGTTAGGTACGCGAACAAGTATATATATCTGTGTGATTTTGCTAAAAGGTGCCTGCTAAGTTTTCGCTTGAACACGGGCATCGCCCGTGTTCAAGCCAGTGTAGCCGGAAAAAAAACAGGGGGCTTGCCGTCTTGCTAGGTGTCAGCTGAGAGCCCAGGCCCAGACCTATCCGTGGCTGGGTGGCTTCCTTGTTTTATGTGAAAACCAGGGGGGTAGGGAGGGGAGATTTTGTCACTTTGGTTAGAGTTTTATGTCAGAAAGCAGTGCAAAGTCAGAGAATTTTTCCTGTGGCCTAGGCCAGCCAAATCAATGCAGTGACTCATAATCATAACACTGCTAGCAGAACTTGCGGGAAGTGATTGACTAGTCATAAGCGTCATGGGTGGGGAGGGTGAGTAATGGCTCCTTGGAGTTGACCGTCTAGAGACTCAGTACAGGCACCTTGTATGAAATCCAGACAGATATTAAGTGCTTATCTGAGCCCGGTGGGGAATTTAATTGCTCGGGAATGCAATTGCTACTCCCTGAGCTAGCAAATGTTGTCAGAAGCTAAGAGATTGTGCTTGGGTTAGAGATATCCAGGCTATTTTCTGTGTGATTTTGCTAAAAGGTGCATGCTAAGTTTTCAAATGAACACAGGCATCACCCGTGTTCAAGCCAGTGTAGCCGGAAAAAAACAAGGGGGCTTGCCATCTTGCTAGGTGTCAGCTGAGAGGCCAGGCCCAGACCTATCCGTGGCTGGGTGGCTTCCTTGTTTTGTGTGAAAACCAGGGGGGTAGGGAGGGGAGATCTTGTCACTTTGGTTAGAGTTTTATGTCAGAAAGCAGTGCAAAGTCAGAGAATTTTTCCTGTGGCCTAGGCCAGCCAAATCAATGCAGTGACTCATAATCATAACACTACTAGCAGAGCTTGGGGGAAGTGATTGACTAGCTATAAGCTTCATGGGTGGGGAGGGTGAGTAATGGCTCCTTGGAGTTGACCGTCTAGAGACTCAGTACAGGCACCTTGTATGAAATCCAGACAGATATATA